GGGCTGCCACTGCTTTCATGACCAGAGGAGTTGGATAGAAAGATGAGGAGAGAGGATGAAGGAAAAAGAGAGGGCCCCAGAGAGAGAAGGGGCAGAAGGATCCCGTTCTGAGGTGGGAAGTCAAGGCAGACCGTAAGGAGAGGATGGCAGGGAGAGTGGAGACAAAGGCCAGTCTGAGAGGCAGGAGGCTGTCCTGGAAGAAGAGCCCCACAACTTGGATGAAGAGAGAGAGAGAGAGAGAGAGAGAGAGAGAGATGTGCACACACTCTCCTCTGAGCTAAGTGAGAAGAAGGGAAGTGAAAAGGAAACCACTTTCCTTGCCCCCTTCTCTGTAGAAGAGAATGTCTCCATACAAGAGGGTAGGTTTCCCCTGTAGATGAGAGGGCCTGGAGGCCAAGGGCTCCACACTGCCCCCCCCCCCCCCCCCCCCCCGGGAGAGGGGCGGCCTAATAAGGCAGCCCAGCCCAGAAGTGGTTTCTGGAGATGCTTCCACGTCCTTCCCATGGCTCAGTTCAAATTTACTTAAGAGACACAGAGAGGCAGAGTATGAGAAGACAAAGGGGCTGTGAGAGAGGGACAGAGGCAACAGAAACAGTTAGAAAATGGGGGTGGAGGGCAGAGAGAGACAGGGAAAGCGCACCAGTGAGCCCAAACCCCTTACACCCCTGGCGGGGCAGGCATACAGGGGAGAGGGCTGTGGGACTGGAAGCTTTTCTAGACTCCCTGCTTTCTTCACAGACAGCTGCCCAAGCTGAGACCGTCCCAGGAGCAACGGCCTCTAGAGTAGGCCCTCTGGGTGCTACCTCAGGTGGGAGGCAGCTGGGCAGCCACTGAAGTTTCAGGAAATGGCCAAGATGCCGTGGGCACTTCAGGCTCCTCTTCTACCACCATCATGAGTCACTTAATGGTTGGACTGGCTCCCCAAACAGAATTCCCCACGAGGAACTCTCTCACTCCTGGACCCTGGGATCTTCTTGGGCTTCTCTTTCCCCTCATGGGTCCGGTCTGGGTCTCGGGGTCTGGGTCTGGGTCTCTTCTTTCCTCTTTAGGGAGGGGGAGAGGTTGATCCTCCAGCTGCCTCTGAACTTTCCCTCTCACCTCCCATCTACATCCCTTCGCAGGAATCTCAGCCTGAACGAACGGATGCTACCTTCACTGACCTCTTCCCCCCCCCCCCCCCCCCCCATCTTTCAGGAAAGAAAAGGGAAAAGGGAAAGAAAGTTCCTACCCGCCTAAGCAGCCTTTAAAGACTCCGGGGAAACTGGGAAATGCAAACCTTTTCTCCTCTCCAGTCCCTCTTTCCCCCCCTCGCCGCTGCTCTGCTCCCTCCATGGAGCACCCCCAACGCCGTCCAGTCCTGCCCAGAGCTCTCTCCCTTCCCCTCCCTTCTCCGCCGGGCCGGACATATGGAACCCATTTCGCTGGTGACATTGAAGAGCCGCCCGTGCGCCCGCCTTCCCTTCCGCCA